GTTTAGATTCATATTTTAACATTGTATTCAATCAGTGTTCAGGATTAGATAAATGATTGGATTTTTAAATATGGCTCTACACAATCTTCCTGACATTTATTCTTATTTCTATGTTGTAATGAGATAACCAGTTATTCCCAACAGAAGTTTAGAACTATGCAATCTTCCGATCATTTCTTTTCATTTTTTGTATTAGAATGAGATAACCAGCTTGAAGTTTGACACTACACAATCTTCCTATCATTTCTTTGTGTTGGACTAAGATAACCTTAATTCACTGATGCTCAGACTGTGGCATCGTTGCCACGTCTGTCCAGGGTGATTCAATTTGATTGTCATATAACACGTCTTCTGAGACGATCAGATAATGAAACCGGAATAATCAATAAAATTACCAAAGCCGTTCAAAAATAATCGAATAATCAGCACCTCCACTTGTTTTTTTAATCTCTTTAAACAACTTTCCCACTACAAATTCAATTTATTCCATTTTTTCTTTTTTTTTTTTGCATGTCAGCATTCATGATTGGTGACAAAAGGAGAAAAATGGCTGCGCATGATATCGCTGATTTTCTTTCCCTAATTATTTTCTGACTTTTGGTAAATGTCTTGCGATCACGATATTTTAAAGAACAGCAGCAGATGTGTATTGTCAATCGTTCAATAGATTCGATCTCTGAATTTTTTTATGTCAAAAGTAATGAGACAATTTTTAAGTGTCAATCATTCAACCCGACCATATCGATTATAATTTTTGATTGCTTGATTTCCATTTTCACTCTCGACGTGAAAATGTGAAAAAAGTACGGCCATGTTCACTTTTTAGTGGCTGACCTTTACACCTTAATTATTTTGAGCCATATATTTCAACCGATGTATGGTTGGTTGGTTGATTTTGTTAACGGCATATCAACACATCTATGGGTTATTTAATGCCGAAATCTAAATATTTCAAAAGCAATTGTATGCCTTCAACAACAGATAAGCTGTATTGCTGGTCATATTGCTTAAAAAATGTATTGTTGGTCATTTTGCTATAAAAAGTACTGTTTATAATTCTACCATAAATATGTATTATTGGGAATTGTATTATATAAAATGTATTGATGCTATTTTTACTATAAAAATGTATTTTTATAAATTCATAATCTTTTTTTTTTTTTGTTGGTTAACTATTTGCCCATAGCTGAGACCCTAACAGGTGCTACCACCCACGTCAGGGTGAACCTGGAAACAACAGCATTTAAGAGTTGAATCCACGCTCCTCAAAACATCCAATATCCCGATTAGAAGCTTTGCTACCAGATGTAGTTTAACGTCATGCCCAGGACCTCAACCGGTGGACTGTTCAGCCTTCCTAATGTGTTATGATATTTTAGATAAAAGCTTTATCGTTATCCTATATTTTTCTCACTAGTATCCTAGCTATTGTTATATTGCTCAATCCATTTCAACCAATATGTTCCGGTTTATGCATCTTCAACTTTTTGTTCCGCCTACATGTACAGTTATAATACTTGCTGTCCAAACTTGGCTATTTAATTTCCATTCCATAATAATCTTGATACTCGCTGTCAGACAAGTCAAATGTCGAAAATGAACTAGCCGACGACTTTCTACAATAAATTTTAGCTCCATCTTATATATATATATATATATATATATATATATATATATATATATATATATACTTGGGCAGCAACCTTTCTTTTAAACATGTTTCGTTGTATCTAATAGACAAGGAGAATTTTATTAATCTTTTATTTAGTTTTTCCAACGTTCATACATTTTTCCATTTGGTGGGAGTAAGGAAATGCAAAAATTGTCTGTATTGTCCATTGTCCCAAGCACTTACAGCCTCTTCTTTAGCCATTTTCAAGGGGATTTGTTTTTAGGTGTTGTTAATTTCTTTTCATGTTTGATTCATTAAGATGTAGTTTTTGTGCTGTCATATTCAACAAAACACCTCTCTCTCTCTCACTATATATATATATATGTATATATATATATATATATATATATATATATATATATATATATATATATTTCTCTATATTGAACCACTACAACATATTTCTTTTATATATATATATATATATATATATATATATATAAAAGAAATATAGTCTTAAGGTGTGCTATATTTATGGGATAAAGTGCTCAATATCAGAGATAGAGCGTGTGTAAATATAAAAGTGAACATAGAAGTCAACACTTAGAGGCGACAGTCTGTTTCATTATATGCAATCGTCAGGCCTGACGATTGCATATAGCATGAAACAGACTGTCGCCTCTAAGTGTTGACTTCTATGTTCACTTTTATATATATATATATATATATATATATATATATATATGCAGGAGGTCAGTTGAATTCGCTACCTTGGTTTCAAACTTATCCTCTAGCGATTTTTATCAAATGACCTTTTAATGCTTTATTTAAAAAAAAGAAAACTAATGGGCCCCACATTATTATTTAAAAAAATAAATAAACAAACGCACGGCATTGGGTGTAATAGAAAGGGAGGAGGAGGATTTGAAGAAGGAAGGAAATGAAGAAGAACAAGAAGAAAAGGAAAGAGAAGAAAGGTAAGAGCATTATAAATGTATCGGTGTGGGGGGGGTAACTGAAATGTACATTACTTTATTTTATCCAGCCTCTTGTGTGCTTAAGAGGAACTTTCTAATATGTAAGCAAGGACTAAAAACTTCGAATTTCTGATTCGGAAGGTTCAAGTTACTTATTAAACACTTCCACAAAAATTCAGAATTACATAAGATAATCAATAAAAACACAGTTAAATTAAGCTACAGCTGCACTAGTAATTTAAAAACAATAAAAAAAAAAGACAAAAAACCAGAAATCTCAAAACTAATGCGCAGCAAAATATAGTTAACGCTGGTAATTTATGCAATTGTAGAAATAAGAATAGCTGTCCATTAAATGGAGCTTGTAAAACAAAAGCTATAATCTATAACGCAGAAGTAACGGATATTAATAACCAAAATAAAACGTGCATAGGATGTACGGAAGATACTTTCAGACGTAGATCGTATGATCATAGTTCGTTATTTAAACTACTAACTTTTAGGTACTCTAGTAAACTGGTTGACTATGTGTGGAATTTAAAAGAAAAAATAACAGGGATGCGTTTGTAAGATGGAAAATTTTTAAAAAGGCGAATCCTTATAACAACCCCAAAAATATTTGCAACCTCTGCCAACAGGAAAAATTAGCAATTATGACATTTCTGGATACAAAGAAACTTTTCAACCAGAAAACCGAAGTCTTGAGTCCTTGCTTTCATATTAGGAAATTCTTCTTAAGCACATATGAGGCTGGATTAAAAAAAATTCATATAAATTTCAATTAATCCCCACACTGATACATTTACAATACCCTTGCCTTACGTTCAAGCATGATACAGACTGTCGTCTGGCAGCTCGATGTTGACTACAGTTTCTCCTATTATATTTCCACACGGCTTGGAGATCAAATCAGACAAAATGATTCAGTAAGGAACAGATGGTTAAAGTTTGATAAATGTAACATGTTTCGCTATTTATTTAACTTTGTCAGAACTTTTGAGGAAATAAAACTTTTCTATTGAAATTAAATAAACAGCGAACCCTGTTACATTTATAAAGATTTTCCTACTTGATCGTTATTTAATCATATATATATATATATATATATATATATATATATATATATATATATAATATGAGCAAGGTAAAAATAAATTTAGCCCCCTTGATTTTCAAAACGTTTTTCCATAACAATATCGTCTGTTTGAAAATTAGAATTTATAATTGTTATTTCCAATTTTTTTCCAAAGTTAAATATTAATCTGGGCCTAAATTCAAATCCAAAATTAAAACTACTATTCATTTAAATAATTAAAAGTGATAAATAGAAATATTAAAAACCCCAAAATTCGCAACTAACGATTGCAGAAAGCATGAAAGTCTGAGTTGTGCAATTAATATAAGGTATTATATATATATATATATATATATGTGTGTGTGTGTGTGTGTGTGTGTGTGTGTGTGTGTGTGTGTGTGTGTGTGTGTGTGTGTGTTGGCTCGTAATCAATATAGTTATCGCATGGCACTGATCAAATTCTTTTTAATGGTACTGCAATCGAATATGGCCTTATGGTTAGCTAATACTTCACATTGTCAAAGGTTTCATATGCATAAGCTGCATTTGCATAAGTAGCAGCATTCAGCATGTTTTCTGAAACAGTTCCAGAGGATTGTTATTTGTATCAATAGCATTGTTAGTCTTCGTTAATGTGGCTGCCATTTTAGGTTACGGCCAAACTGTGCATCACGAAGTAGGATTATGCATTCATTTTTTATTTTAAGGAAAGACTATGAACTCGGGTCAAACTTACTCTCTCACCATCAAATACGATAATCCGTCAAGAAAAGATAAACGTTGTGTCTGACGATAAACTACAACAAAAACAAAACACTATGAAAGTATAAAAATACATTTTTATACTAAAAACATCAGCAATACTTTTTATGTTGAAAAGTTACCAACAATACATATTAATAGTAAAATGGCCAGCAAAACATTTTATCTGTAGTTGAGAACATACAATTGCGTTCATAAAATTGTGTTCAATTATATTTCGTCATTAAATAACCCCCAGAGGATGATATGCCACTAATCACAATCAACTAACAAACCAATCAAGAAGAGAAAGTTCACATCATTGGTTATGAGTGAACTGCTGGTGTTACATCAGAGTATTCCTTGTAGTTGAATAAATTAACGAAGGCTAAGGAGTACAACGCTCGCAGACGGTTGCATCACTGTTGTCTCTGTAAATAGGTCCATCTGCTCTTTGACTGGTTTTTAATACTGTTTACTGTCTAGACACTCTCCTCACCAGATAAGCCTGGTGGAAGAACCAGTTTAGACGACGATAATCCGAACATGAGGTAGGTAGCATTGAGGCACATGATACCATTAGCACTTGAGTTACTTGGCACAGCATAGATAGATAGATAGATAGGAACAGATTGAGATAGATAGATAGATAGATAGATAGATAGATAGATAGATAGATAGATAGTATTACTAATTTATCTGAAATTCTTGAACTAAATATTTTCGGAATTATTAAATTTAAAGAAGACAAAATAGACCTTGTGCGTGTGTGTGTGTGTGTGTGTGTGTGTGTGTGTGTGTGTGTGTGTGTGTGTGTATGTGTGTAAAAATAGCAGCAGTAGATACACTAACCTTGTTGAAAAAAAGACCGCTGATTTAGTCAGCAGATAAGCAACAAGTGTTGCCATTTCGAAAGTAGTATCAACACTTTCCACGTGAGCAAAAACAACTAACAAATAAGCCCCAGTAATTTTAAAAACACTGAAAGTAAAAAACAGGAAAATCGGTGAGTGGCTTTTTATGCATGTGTTGAAATCTTGAAAGCGAGCATACCATCGAAAAGAATTTTACATATTTAGGAAAATACATTAAGATACTTTATTGTATGATAGTGCAAAAGAAAGATAAAAGAGAAGGTGCAATCGAAAATATATGTACATTCCTTGTGAAAATTTTACATTTGAGACTAATCTCCATTTGTATAACATTTAGACAAAAACATGGACGGCTAACATAGATTGAAATGGATAAGGGAGAAAAGGAAAAGATACAAAGTTTGAGTAAACAAAAGTATAAGACAATGGATAAGTTGTCAAAATCCATGAAATTTTCCCAGGTTTAGCCAATTAAGAATAATTTTCACGAATTTTGCAAATTAAGAATAATTTTCGCGAGTTTAGCTAATTAAAAATAATTATTAATGAAAGAAAGAATTTTGTTTAATTTCCCAAGAAGAATACGGTATACGATATACATTTAAGGAAGGCTGGAGAGTATATCGGTCATCTTCCCCTTCTCTTCTTCTCTCTCTCTCTCTTTCTGCAACTTTCTATTCGCCACCTTCGCAATTTATATTCAAATGTAGAATTTCCTGTTTCAGTTATTTTTTCGTCATTTAAAAACGAAATTGCTGATTTGTGTTAAACGTAACCGTAACTCAAATACAAGTAAAAACTTTTACTTCATTTTTTTTAACACATTAGAAAAAAAATAAATTGACAATTTTATGCAAAAAAGAATATTCGAAATGATTGGGCCAAAGAATGGGTCATCGTAGATTTTACAATAATAAAACATGTTGCTCTTAATTATTTGAGATTAGTTTTTACCCTTTTTCTTGTAAGGGTTAGTGAAAAAAAGTCTCACAAATCATAAATTAGGATTTCTTTCAATTAATATCTAACATTATCGATGTGAAGTGCATTAATGTAACTTCCAATCGAATAAAGACGTCGTCACATACTGAGTAAGACTGTATACTCGGTTGTATATCCATGTGCTATATGTCAGGAAAGACAGTGTACACAGCACCAAGCAAAGTCGTTCTCGATAGGAATAACCAGTAGAAGTAGCCACGTCAAACATAAAACAGAATGACGCCATCTTGCGGGAGAAAATATGACTGTAAATGAATAATTACAACAAAAGCAAATGTTGAGGCTACACTTGTCCGAATCGATAGAACCATAACCTTATTAACTTGATTCTATAAGGATAACAAAAATTACTCCCAACCCATTGTCAACCACTAATTATGTCCTCGGTGGAGATGTACAGGCAAATTATAGAAAATGGTCCGTTTTCGCCATTACGAAATCAAAATGGCCGTCGATGGAAACGTCTGCTTGTTCCTTTCAACGATATTCTGAAACTCGCTTAATTTTTTAGCAATTTTTGCAATTTGCTGAATAAAAGTATGTAAAAGACAATGTTATTTAATAACCGATTTTGTTTGCTTGTATGACATAAAGTAAATATATATATATCAGCTGGATTAAAGCCATTATATGCAAGCCGCTATGTAATTATGGGCGCTTTCATGCGATAAATTAATGCATTCCTCTCATGTAAATTGTAATTAATAAAATAGATGCGTATTAATTTGCTTTACATATATATGAAGATTTAGATATGGAAATGTGCAGATAGTTAGATAGATAGGTAGATAATGAACTGAGATAGATAGATAGATAGATAGATAGATAGATAGATAGATAGATAGATAGATAGATAGCGATCGAACTCTTTCCATTAGCAATACTCTGCGAGATAGGTGGTGTTAACGATTACACAACAAAAGGCGATCAAAGCATTGTATTGCAACTGGGCACTTCTGTACATGTATTTAATATTCTAGGTCTAGTCTGCCACAAGGACACTTCATATATTTGCAAAAACAAAAACACCTTGTCTCAATATCTTAAGAACAGTGTACATCCTCCTAAATTAACATGAATCAGAGAGAGTTTTACTGTACATTCTGTAACAGACTCTCTCCCCTTGAGTTATTCAGTCAGTTGGTAGTGAGATTCCATTCAATTGGTCTGCGTGCTGTACAATCGATGTACAATCAGATAAATAAAACTTTTCTCTAAATGTAAAGTTTGTAAACATATGAACAAACTGCCAAATTCAACTGTATTTTCCTGATAACTAATTCTCTTTCGTACAACGTCTTTTATACAAACACAAACACACACACATTGCCTAAAGGGACTGTCAAGATTTAACTATGAATGGTGAGGCTCGGGCTTTTGCCTTAGATATCTCGAAGGCGTTTGGCATGCTGGTTTTCTTCCCAAGTTGAAGGGTTATGGTATTTCTGGCTGAATTTTCTATTTGATGCAATCTTTCAATCTCGAAATAAAAGTTATCTAGAACGGCCACTCTTCAAGATCTTTTTACTCTAGCCTTGCGCCTCCGTTGTTCCTAATTTTCATCAGCGACACTTCCGTTCCCAACAATATTTACTTCTGTATTAATGTCGTCTGATAGATTCGATATCAAATTGGCAGCTGATTTTTAAAAAATAATCTTCAATCTGTTGTTAACTATGGCAAGAAATGACTTGTTGATTTTAATGCCTCCAAAACTAAACTGTTCTCTTTTCATCGTCTAAATGAACTTTTTTTGCTTTCCATCGACATGGCTGATGCTAACCTCCAGGACATTAACTCATTGCACGTTCTTGTTTTAACGTTTTCCATCGGCATGAAATGAAACGATTATATTGAATCAATTGCTAGGTCTGCTGCTGTGCAAGTTGGTTCACTGTGTCGTAATAGAGAGTTTTTCTCGCCAGAATCTATCTGGTACGTTTATAAGTTTACCATTCATCTGTGCATTGAATTTTGCTGTCACATCTGGTCTGATGCATCTGCTTTATATAGGGATCTACATAAAAAAAACGCGATACCCAAGGTTTAAAATTAATTTTTAAAAAGAAGAAATCATTCTTGAAGCTTTTATTTTAGTATTAATTTCAAGCTAATAGATTAAAATTAATATTTCCAATAATCAAAATACTTTCTGCATTTCAAAGAATAATTTAAATTGACTGGAAGGATTTTCTTTTTCTTTTTTTACTAAAATAGCTGATTAGCTCCCCTTTTTAGCCGTCTTTCATCGCAATGTAATTCTCGTTATTAAAAAAAATCTTCCAAAAATAAAATATACATTTCTGAAACTTTATTTGGGAAACATTAGTTGAATTAAAATATAATTAATCTAATTTGAAACAAATATGATTTGCTTTAAGTTTAAAATACCACAGAAATGCATTTTAAGTAGCTGTGTTTTTAACTCGATAGTAGCTGTATTGACGTGTTGACAGCCTAATGACAAAATGTTGTTCTATGGAAATTTTTCTGTAAACATAATTGAAGAAAATGACGCAAGCACTTTTTTATATAATTGTTAAGTACTCAGTAATCTTAAAAATTTAGGAAAATATTCTCCGCAGTCTAATGTTTTATTGAATTTTAGTAATGTTGACTTTAAATTTACTGTAGTTACCGTTCTTATTTTCTGATAATGTCGTGTATTGTTGCCCGTACTTTCAAAAATCAGCAAGTCTATACACATACAAAAGATTCAAAAGTCTTTTAAAAATATTGGCGTTTGATGATTTGTTACGTTTTTTTTTTTTATTTATGATTAGTAAATATAGTTTTCGCCTAATAATATCATTTAAAAGGCTGAAACTAATAAACAATTTTAAAAGATTTATTCATAATTCTTTTTTTTTTTTAATCGTTATCACCACGAGCAAAGCAGTACAGCCACTAGCACGCAAGGGTTTACAGCATGCGGAGGAATTAGCAACAGAAACATTAATAATGAGAAGAAAGAACAGAACAACCAGGGGGGACAGTAGATAGCGATTGGTATTGCATTTAAATTTTAATTAAAAGTTTAAATGCGGATTAAAGTTGGTTGGAAAGCATGGAGCCGGAAGGAAGTTCCACAAGCGAGAAGTGCGAGATAAGAAACTGTTAACATAAAAGTTACAGCTACATCTTAGCTGGCTCAACTGTAAATTGATGCGATATCGCCGCCAGTCTAATATTGCGCTTAAATTCATACAGTCTAGGTATGCATTAGAACTTTGCGACGTCCAAGGTTTTTTGCGTATTTATATCATTTCACCCCAAGCAAGGCGATAATACCACTAAGATGTAAGGGTTTAAGGAGAATTAGAATACCTTAGGAGCCACCGCAAGGAAAGTTGGCTCCCTGTGCTGCGCCAGGAAATTTTTCTTCCTGGAATCGATCCTCCAGATATACTCCTTGCATGGTGTATTGCTGCCATATATGGTCTGGAGCCCCTTCTGTTTGCCTCGGGGTTCTTGATAGGCTCCAGAGGCGGATATGCAATATAATTGGCCCTGATCTGGCATCTCGTCTACAGTTACTTTCTCACAGACGCGCCGTCGCCTCTCTCTGTGTCTGTTTTACAAATACTTTCATGGCAATTGCCCCGAGGAGCTGCATTCGCTGGTTCCCAGACTCCATGAATTCAAGCGCCCTACGAGACTGACATCCCGCTCTCACCCTTTCACTGTTGAAACTACTAAATGTAGCCGTCTCTTCTACTCCAATAGCTTCATGTCTCGCACCTCTCGCCTGTGGAACTCCCTTCCCTATTCCAGTTTCCCTGAGAGCTATAATCTCCAGCTATTCAAATGTAATGTCAATCGACGTCTCCAGTTGCCTCGATCTATCCACTACCCTTCTCCTCATCCTTTCTTCTATCACTCCTATCTGATCTTACTCCAAATTTTCTGTAACCCCTTGCGTCCTGGTGGCTTCCCGCCTTGCTTGGGGTGAAACGCTTAAAAAAAGAGAGAAACCCAATCTTAAACAAGAAACAAGACATAAGCTTCTACTCCAGACAATAGGCGAACCTATTTACCATTGAAAGAAAAAAATTAGGAAATAAAATTTTGGAGTTTAGGTGGAGATGTTAGAAGTATGGTGTGAAACTAAGAACGCGTGCGATTCAAGTGCGTGTATTCAAATAGGGACGGTTAATTATACATCCGCTGTTACTTAATGAATTTTAAATACTTATTTAGATTTTATGATAAGTTGGGTTGTCCCCTAAAACCGAAAAATGTGAAGGAAAACTAAACTATCACTGAAGGAATTTATTTTTAAACCCTGAGTAGAGAATAAACCTAAAATAATTTATTTATATATTCCCTTTAAATGTTATTTTTAGTGGATACTCGTATTTGAATAGGCGCTTCAGTTATTTATTAAACAGTATATTAATTTATTTTCGTTTTCCCCGCCTGATTTTCGAGACATCTTATTAAAGAAAAATTTGCACTTTTCGGCAGGATTTGAACCTATGACCCTCAGGACAGAGAAAGCTATGATTAAGCATGGTACGCCTTAACCAACATGGTCACGAAAGGCAGTCACTCAGACGAGGCCAAATTTTCTGCCTTCAATCGAAATCTTTCCCCCTCATAGAATCTCTAAGTTTTTCATACCTGCACAGTTTCGTATCCAAACAAACGAAGAGAATTTCAAAATATTTTTAATCCGACAGATTTCTATCATTTGAAGAGCTATTTTAGTCGATACTTGTATCTGAACAGGGGCTATTCAAATACTACTACTGAAACACGATTATCCACTAAAAATTTAATAATACTGGCCCATTGGATAAAGGCGTTAGTTAGATCCAATGACTAGAGTTATGAGTTCAATACCAGGCTACAGCAGTGGTGAACTAAACTTTGGAGAGTTGAGTTAAATAACTGAAGAGGCGTGGAACTGAACAATCTACCTTGCTGGACGAAATAAAGGGTTCGATTCGAAATTCTAATCACCTGAAATCACCGACACGTTTTGAATATGGCAATGAATATGAGGATAATAGTCCGAATAATGTAAATATTGAAAGTGAGTCTAGTCTGACTGATACACAACTACTTAGTAGTGAATATGAACTTAATTAAAAGTGGAACGTAAAATAATTCAAGAAATGTTGACATGTAAAAATCAACCAATTTTTTTTTCTCAGAAGCGGTGGCGCCGAGCTTGTTTAGAAAATGATGCCAGTGTTGTTTATCTTACATCGGACCAAACAGAGGAAAGTCGAAAACGCAAGATACGGACCGTATGACTAGTGTAAACTTACAGCAAGCGTCAATGAGTGTCATTTTTTTTTCCCGCGCGGCAGAATTCAATGACATGCTTTTAGTAGGTACACACTTTCATGTCAGACGTGATTTTGCCAGATTGTGGTTCAGCTGATAATTGTAGAAGTACAAAGAATAGGCTTTATTCGCGGGAAAGCTAATCCTCTGCTTCCAGGTCATAAAAGCCGCCTCTGAAGTCATTGACCAACTCGATGAAATATATTGTTGTGATCAAGTAAATGGTTAAGAAATAACAGAACAAGAGGTTGCAGATAAATAGTGTATTGAACAGTAAATACAATAGAAGTGTGTTACACGACTTGGAAGTGTGTGTCGGTTGACCAGCGTTCAGTTTATATCACTGATCCCCAAGGCTTACTTTCCTACTAATTTTATAGGAAGTGGAAGAGTTCACAATAGACTCATTAGAGGGAGGACACCGCACCCCCCCTTTCTTTTCGGCCCGACTCCGATGGAGTCTTATTTTTTAAAACTACCACACAGATTTTTAGATTTACGACACGCATTTCACGTGTTAACAATAGTCTATTCATTATTCCTAAATAATGAAAAAGAAATTGGATAAGTTTTACTGGTA